ATATAAAACAGTTGTTTTTTTTTTAACATTCTGATTTTCATTTGTCATTGTTGTAGGCCCTATGTGAATATTGCATTTAACAACTGTCAAAACGTGTAGCCTATATATTGAATTTAAAGTGAGGAATTAAAAATATTTTAAAGTTTCATCAACTAAAATGTGCATCATACGTCTACAATCTGGTGCCTTTTCTGGTAAATTTTACTTAACTTCAGTCACGGTGGCTAGCCTGGAGTCTCTCTAGCAAGGCTGACTATGTATTCCAAGTCTTGAAGGAAAATTGAGGTTTTAATAATGTGTGGACAGATTTATTTGCTTTCACCACCAACGCTGCAAAGTTAAAGTACTAATTAATTATAAACTAGTCCATACCTGGGGATGTGTTATGTAGCTATAGATGAATAAGAAATCAAAAACAGTATATTAGAGGAGATGCAAAATCAGAGCACTGTAAATGCACTGTGTAATAAATATTAATGTAAGGCAAACAATGCACACTGTATTTAGAAACATGCTTTATGGCAAAATACATGGAGCATAGTTTTGGTTGACGGCACGGAGGCACGCACGGGACCGTGCGCGGGCACACAGGTACACAAATACACACGCAACACGGAGAAAGAATGAAATAAACAGTGCAAAGTGCACAGTGCAATATTTAGTTTGTAATGTTTGTAGGCTAATGTCAGTAAAGTGAAAATACTTGTGTTGGTGCTTGAAATTGCATGTCCCAGCCATAAACTGTGGTCCGAGCACAGGTGTTTTCCAAGTGGTCTCCGCGCATGCACAGCTCGCGCTTCTAATGGTGCTCACAGTATGAATGGGTAGTGGAAAAAAACGCGAATATAAACAGTAGAAATGTGAGAAAATGCAAAAACGGCATTGTGGCTGTCTGCACATGACCAAGATGAAAGCCTATGTGCAAGTTCAGAGAAATAGGTCAAAGCAGTGAGGAGGAAAACAAATGATGACAGACGGATGGACGGAGGGACAGAGGTTTCTTCATTTAATAGTAGGATAGACCACTGCAAAGTAGCAAGCTTACTTACTTACTCATATTAATGAATGCTCATTTAGACTGTTACCTTCATTCCTATATGTTTTGCAGCTTCAGACATTTTTTTTGGCAAATAATGTGTCTTTTAATAGTAAAGGTTGCCGACCCCTGCTCTAAAGTATAATACAATTCAACACGACAGAAATAAAGGCTTCAGCAAAAGCTTTACATCATACACTTCATAAAGGTACGTTTCATTGTATGGCATCGTACAGGATTTGGTTTTATGGCCTAGCACAACCCACAACTTTTCTTATTTCACAATATTTATGTTCTCCATTATACAGCTATTTAATCAGGACACTTAAGGTGCAGTGTGTAGGATGTAGAGGGATGTATAAGCAGAAATGGAACAAAACATTCATAACCATGTTTTTAATAGTGTATAATCACCTGAAACTAGGAAACATGTTTTCGTTACCTCAGAATGACTTGTTTATGAGACCTGCAAACAGCATTGGCCGCAGGGCTTCATTCATACCTATGGAAGTTGCTCAGTGGCGCATGACATCCAAATCTCTATATTTCCGCTGTATGAAATTACCTGGATGATTGGCACTGCTTCTGCATCATTGGGCCCATACAGCAGGAGCACTATATTTACAGCCGCTTGGCTGTGCTCTACGAATATAGCTGAGCAGCCAACCTCCTTGAATGGGGTTAAAGTAATAATTACTAAAAAGGTTGAAGAGTGCTACAGTTCCAAACACACCTTGTCTACACTTGATAGTAAAATCAGTATAGTCAAGAAGACATGTAGTTGTGGACACACGTTTCTCTCCTGATCAGTTCTTGTCACATTTCATAAAGCTAAATATCTAAACTCAAGCATCCTGATACATGTTATATATTTTTCACTGTTTCAATCACTGATATTTTCCTCAGGATGTATAGAGTCCACAGACTGTGCTGCTTCTCCCTCCTCGCTGTGTGTCTCCATGTGTTTCTTCAGCTTGGCCTTGGACGTGAATGTTTTCTCACACTGCTCACAGTACGGCTTCAGCGGCTTCAACCCCGAATGGCTGCGCTTGTGTCGCGCCAGCTCTGACGAGCTCTTGAACTTGAGCTCGCAGATGTTGCAGGGGTACGGCCTCTCCCCTGTGTGAATACGCTGGTGCAGCTGAGCCTCGCTGAGGGTGAGAAACGACTTCTCACAGTGTCCGCAGGGGAACGGCCTCTCTCCTGTGTGGATGAGATTGTGTCTGGTCAGTGCGTACGGTTTGGTGAAGCCCTTCCCGCAGTAGGCGCAGGAGTACGGGCGGACCCCGGTGTGGGAGACGATATGTTCCTGTTGGGTTTTTTTGCTTTTGAAACGTTTGTCACACTGGGGGCAGGAGTAGGGCCTGTCGTCCACGTGTGACCTGTGATGTTTCGAAAGCTCTCCCTGCGATAAAAAGCCCTTCCCACACTGAGAGCAGAGGAACGGTTTCTCCCCAGTGTGCATCCTCTCGTGTCTGGCCAGCACAGACACCAGGGTGAACCTCTTGGGGCAGTGGGAGCACTGGAAAGGCCGCTCCCCTGTGTGAACACGGAGATGTTTAATGAGCATAAAGCGAAGCGAGAACCGTTTGCTGCACTGGTTACACTGGTACGGTCGCTCCCCAGTGTGTGTGGACAGATGCCTCTTCACATCAGATCTCCGAGTGTACGTCTTCTCACAATGTGGACACTTAAACTGACTCTTCACTTGATGGATCTGCCGGTGCTGGGAGCGTGCGAGCAGGGTATCGAAGCCTTCGCCGCACTTCTGGCATATGTAGCGTTTGGTGATGATGTGAGACTTCCTGTGCTCCAGCAGTTCGGAGGAAGTGGAGAAACTGTGGCTGCAGATGGAGCAGATCTGAGGAAGCTGGCTCTCCTGTGAGTGAGACTTCTTGTGGTGGACGGTGAGTGCGCGGAGGTTAGCGAAGGAGCTCCCGCACAGCTGGCAGGAGAAAGAAATGGCCACGCCGTGATGTTTACTCTCATGTTTGGCCAGATCCCACGAGTGCTGGAAGGTTCTGTCACACTGCGAGCAAAGAAACGGTCTTTCTCCGGTGTGAGTGAGCTGGTGTCTCCTCACGTCTGACGACCGGGTGAACGTTTTGCCGCACGTCTCACACGTGAGGGCCCTCTGTCTGCTTTGGGATTGAGATGCATTGACTTTGCTTTGATTGTCTGGCTGCTCTGCTTCGCTCCCCTCTGTGTTTCCTGTGGGTAAAAGTTTAATGGATGTAAATATTTCATCTGTGCTGGAGGGAGACGGAGTAAATTTGGCTCCTGAGAGAGTCCTGTACACTTCAGAGTGAACACTCTGCATGTGGAAGTGAGGAGGGCTGTTTTTGTCCGAGTTGTGGAAGGGACACTGTGAGCAGGTGAAGATGATGGACATCATTTCATCCGAACCATCTGCAAGTAATAAAAGACAGAAGTGTGAGTAAAACGTGGATTTTATTTCAAAAGGTGCAAGATGTTTCTCTTATCCATGTCAATATTACCTTTGTCGTTTCCTTTGACAGCTATAACAGAGGGGGTGAGAGATACATCAGCTTTGCTCCTGGTGACACAAAAATGGAAATAATGCGGAAATAACTGTAAATGCTGTTTAAATAATGTCTCACAAATAATATGTGAAGTGTTACAACAAATACTACAGTAAAAAGTATGGTACTTCATCCCTGTAATTTCTAAGGAGGAACAGTAATACTATTATTAGAAAGTAAGAAACAATTAAAGGAATGGTTTGACATTTTTGGAAATACACTTATCTGCAATTGTGCTCAGAGTTAGATGCAATGATTGATACCACTACAAAGCTAGCACCACCAGTCAGTTAGCTTAGATTAGCAAAAAAACAGCTAGCCTGGCTCTGTGCAAATCTAACAAAATCTGCCTCACAGCACCTCTGAAGCTCACTAATTAATGCTTTATTTCTTGTTTGATCTGTCCACAAAACAAAGTGTAAAAATGACACATGGTTTTCAGGGGGTTATATGCCGAACTACTTTATGGCCGGGGGATGTTTTCACACTGTTTCCCAACTTTATGCTACGCTAAGCTAAGCGTCTGCTGGTAATAGCTCAGTATTTAGCGTACAGACTATGGCTGTCACAACAACTTACCTCTTACTTACGCACCTCTTATTGCGCCTCATTGCCCTTCTGTGTTCTGTATTTAACAAGTATTTAAATTGTTTTTAAACTGTGTCATCTTTGTCTTTTAAAAAGCAACAATCTACCAAATAATAGTCTGACAATAGAGCTTATTCACAAATCACTAAAATCGGAATAAAATAAGTAATTTACAAAAACAAAAAATGGCAGAGCATATTTCGCTTTTGAGCCACCCTCAATCACTGCAGCGAAAATTCCTTCACTGCAACAGCCCTCCTACAGACATGACAATGGTAATGATTTCTCGTTTGATTAATAAATGTCCCGAAAATGTCAACTTCGTCCTTTAAAGAAGTCTTAATGAAAAACTGACAAATATCTTAAGACTATAGAAGGCGCAGCTGAAAATGGAAATAGACGTCATTCAAGACTTGTATTTCCCAAATAGTTTTTTGTTACTGTTGTTATGTAATGTTGCAAATCAGTTGAGTGACAAAAAAAATAAAACTTGTCCATTTGGTAATGTGGATTTTTAAAAATACTATCTCATAGGAGGACGCAGTCACAGTATTACGGTATTACTACTTTCTCTGACTTACCTCTGGATTTTACACATCTCCTGCCAGCTGGGTGAGGATTTTATTTGTAGACGAGTCGATCGCCGCACATTCTCTGAACTGGAAGACTGTTGTGTTTCAGATAATGGATCCTCACTGGGGACATCTGTCATTTCTTCATGGACAGAAAAAGCTTCGTGATCATCCTCCAAGTCTGTACATGAGTTCATGTTGCTCTCTGTGCCTCCATGTTGAAAATCCTCCTTCACCTCTTCAACATTTTCTCTCTTCTCGTCAGTTTGATCGCTTGTTTTATGTCCTTCGTTTGTTGTTCTTTCGTCTGGTGCATTTCCTGATCCAGGCTCGTCATTAAGGGATGAATCATTACTCTTTCCTGTCAATACATCTTGCCCAAGGCTTTCCTTCCTTAGTGCGAAAGTTTTCGTCAGAGTCTCCAGAGCTTTGGCGACATCCACAGTTTCAGTTGTTTCTTCTGTCCTTAAGGTGGTCGTCTCCTCACCGCCGGCGTTATCTGCGCTCACAGCCACTATCTCCTCTTCGTAGAAATCGGTTTGAACTTGCACTTCAGCTGACTCGATCATTTCTTCATCGACTTCAGATGCTCCAGCTTCCACCTCGGTGTAGACAGCAACAACGCTGTACTGATCTGTCCCGACAAAGGTGACGGGGTTTAGCACATTAGCGTAGTTGTGGATTGATTCCGGTCCAACAGAGATGTTTGTCCTTTGCGAGGGAGGAATGGATAAAGCAGACATGATGCAGCTGCCGATGGTGGATGAAGGGCCATCTGTAAAAAAGAAAACAAGGAGTCACGGAATGAAGAATCTCTATAAACTGATTCTGAGTATGTGTGCTGAATCTGTGGGCAATGGGACAAGACTTTGGTATTGGAAACGTTCTGGTTTCTGTTTGTAGTCCGAGTACTATTGACCAATCATGTTTGAATGACTGTAAACAGCACGTGTAAAGAGGTGGAATGCATAGACAAAATGCAATCTTAGAATGCATCGGCTATCGTCTGACAAGTTAGCTTTATATTCTTTTTTTTTTTTTCATATGTAGATTTCTGTTTATAGAGCAAAAATTATGGCGCACGGAAGAGAAAGTCTTGACCAGGATGTCCACTGGCTATGCCATATCAGCCTGAAATATCAGAGGCTTTATGGTTGTCAAAAGGAAGCCAATTGGTTCTGATACGCTCGCTAAAAAAATTGTAATTTTAAGGCACTTCCTGGAAACACCTTCAGGTATTTACAAGTAGTGCTGTAACTAAAGATCACTTTTACTTTTCCTATTAGTTTTATCGATTAATCACCTAAGTGTTTCGTCAATAAAACACCAGAAGATGGTTAATGGTGTTGTTTGTATTTTATTGTAGTCCTGTTGTATTTATTTGTAGTTTATTTTGTGATCATTTTTAACAAATGTAAAGTGTCTTTCAGTACCATGAGAAGCGCTATACACATAAAATGTATTATTATTATTATTATTATTATTATTATTTAGAAAAAGCTTGTTACAATTTTTGCCAGAGCCCAGGTGAGAGCTTCAAATTGTTTTTTTGTGAGACCTTTTTGTCTACAATGCAAAGGTATTAAGCTTACAGTGATATATAGGGTTGGATATTTGTGCAGATGTCAAGATTTGATTAAATTATATTTTAGAAACTTGTAACTTAATTTGATGTGAAATCGCAATAGCAACATAAAATATAAATTGCAATGTTGCATAAATCGAAAAGAGATTCCCTGAATTTATCTTGGGAACTTAAATCTCTTTTTATTCCAAAGTAACCAACAATGGCGTTTTCTTTTGAATATTAAAGTGCCAATTATAAATTAAATTGTAACCACATTTCCTTAGTATAAAATTTTGGGTCAAAATAGGTAGTATATAGAACTATACTAAAGGACTTAGGACAGGATCACACCAGTCTCAGCGCCTACTTCTTGCTCAGATCACTCCCATTTTCACTTTCACTGCGATCTCAACTACACTCTCCTAGGTGCCTCCAGGACCTCACTTTGCCATGATGACACACACAGACAGACAAGATAAAAACAATACCAGCCCCGCTGTCGCAGCTGATAAAAATGTATAAAGGTGTACACACAACACTCAAATTTACACACATTCGCTGAGAAAAGATAAGAATGCAAAGGTCGATTTTGGAATTTCAAGACTCAATATTGGATCATACAACTGAAAATCTATGTTTTTTTTACCCAGTTTCAATGATATAACAAAGGCAAAAGCAGATCTCTACATTTAAGAAGCTAAAACCAGAGCATGCTTGGTGTTTTTGCTTGATATCTGATTTAAAAGACAACATAATTTCAGCTCTACTCACATGGCATTTTCAGCAGTCCTATACTTTTGTAGTGCTCGAAGATTAAACCCAGCTCTTCAGGTGAGGACTGGACACATTCCTCCAACACAGAAGGAGCCGAGCCGAACCAGGCGGTGGTCTGTAATCACAGTTTGTGGTAAATGGTGATATTGTGCACAGAAGAAAAAAACAACCTGAGACATCTGAATGGACTGATTCAATACCTGTTTTAAGTCTGGTACTGGGAGCAGCTTTTCCAGCTTTGAGAGCAGCTCCCACAATAACACATGTAGAGCGGCGTCATATTGTGGCCCATATTCCACTGGGAACACCTCCTGTAAGAGTTCATTCAATGTCAGTTTACTGCAGGACTTATTGTGAGTATTTTCAAGACAAGAAATTATTTAAAATCTGTCTGACCTGGAAGAAATACGCTCTCTCAACAGGATCCTTCAGCAGGCTCTGAACAAGTGCAATAAAAGTGGACTCTGTTGCTTTCACCTCTGCGTCCCTGCACTGCTACAGATAAGATTCATGTCACTTTAAGATTATTATTTGTTTTCAAAAAGGAATTTCCTCACTGTACTTACATCTGTGTTTGCAGAGGTTATTGGGAGTCTATCCAAATAGCTCTGGATCACCGGAGCATCAACAGAACCTCGAGCCGTGCCTTTGCAAAGCTCCAGAATCAACTGAAATGTCAACAAACTATGCTATTGCAAAACCATTACAGCAAAATTTACAATATTTGATACAGTACACAACTTCTGCTCACCCTTGCTCTTAGCCCCAGAATGAGCTGAGCTCTCTGCTTGTGGTTGATCAGTCCAGGGACTGCCTCTGTCACCATGAACACAAACTCCTGCAGCTTATCATACTTCATCACATCTTTCTGCTTTGCCAGCTGCCACATAGCAGCAGACAGGAGCTGCAGTGGAGGCACCAGGAGGCGAAGAAATGCAAGAGGCAGGCTTGGGTCTGAGGGATCAAAGTGCAATGTGAGAGATGGTCTGTTGAGGGCATCAATGAGCTTTTAGTGAAGGAGAGCAGTTTGCAAGCAAACTGAGCAGCACCTATTTTACTTGTAATACTTTAAAAATCTTCTTTAAATAAGCTCTTTCGCAATGGAAATATAATCAAGGTAATAATTTGCTAAATCAAAGCAACGGCAAAGTTACTGCAACTTCTATTTGTTCTTACAACTACCCCTTAAGAAGCTGCCATTAGCCTATGAACCCGTATAGTTGCTGGATGCACCATTTAATGGGAGTTTTGAATTTGAAACCAGGTAAAGAATCTGCAGGTGTGCTTTAAATCGCGTAACAATTAACTGTGTTACGTCACATTAACATTTGACATCAGACTATAACAAGTTATTTCATTGTGCGACAGCTCCAGTCTTAAAACCACTGATTGTCATGATTCCTTTAAATAGACGGGTCCCGCTAACAGTCTGACTGATATAAATATGGCCTTCCTTAAACTACAGCGGGAGAAAATTAATAATAAACGTACCTTTATTTTTCTCTATTGACCCGATAACCTCCATTAATGCGAGGTGACTGCTGTAGCGTTGAGAAATAGATGTAAAATAATGTTATTTGTTTTTTAGCTAGCATGCGCTGTTGGAACGCAAACACCCGCTTCCTCAACTCGTATGCGTTTCCTCTTTTCAAAATAAAAGTGTCACAACTCAGCTTTCTGTTCTTCACTTAAAATCCACTTTCTCTCCTCTCGTCTTGAGTTTCAACAGTAAGACAAGAAATTAAATTTTAACTATTTACCCTAGCAGTTTACATGTATACAGTTCATTTAGACTGAGTGATTCGTGTTTCAATAACAGTATAATTTAAAACCAAAACTCAATGTCAACATTACCTACTAGCTTTTTCACAGAGCACATAGTTTTAATCAGCAAATGAAGCAGTTGAAAACTCTGGAGAAAGTTGATTAGTGAACCTTAAATCAATATTAATTATAGCAACAGAGGCAAAAATATTTTTTCATGATAGAATTATAAAACATAGATGCATAACAACTAAGTTTTAAGCCCATAAAATACAAAAAAAAATACAGTTAAATAAACAAGGGTTCTCTGACATGCAGGTGCTAAGCACTTAAAGATTTTTGGTTGTAATTATGATCAAATGTACCAGGTAGAATTTGTCCTCATAAATCCAGCTGTGGTCACAGACACAAAACAAAACATTTGACAAGTGACAATGGGTGTTACAAAAGCCTTCCAAAAACCTCTGCAGCACTGACTTTCAATCTAACCCCAAGACTCAAATTGAATCTTAGTTAAAACATAATTTGTAAGACAGTGAATGGAACTGTAATTCATTTAAAAAAAAAAAAAAAGACTGGTAAAACAATATTTTGTGCCATACGTAAAACAAGTTTATAGATAAAAGTCTAATTTGTAAGTTTGAAATCTCACTGTTGAGTTAAACGTTATTTTAAGACATAATGGATTTTTTTAGCTTATAAAACTTGTAATAATTAGAAACTGTCAAATGCAGCTACGGGACATAACCGGATGTTGTTGCTTTTCCAAGGACCGGAAAGGCGGCTTCAAAATAAAAGCTCAAACCGCCCGTTGGGTGCAACGTCGTGACGTCACGGTCACATGAAACGTTTCCCATCAAATTTTTTTGTATTTAACATTTCTGTGTTTTTGCAGTGAAAATTTTCGCTGTTTGAACTGAAACTGCTCTTTCATCTGCAACAAGTTTAAAAAGCGTCCAACATGGACGAGGACGGGCTGCCGATCGTGGGTTCCGGTGTCGATCTTACCAAGGTTGGTGTCTAAATTAGCTAGCTATCTAGCATTAAGCTTAGCTAACTAACGTCAAGCTACATATTGAGGAAATGAGAAGAAATGGGGGCAAAACAGTGCTGCGAGACAGTTGTCATCCTGATTAGCAAGTCAGATAGTAATTATAACGTTAGTACTTAAGCTAGTTAGCTGTAATCGAAGCAGCTGTTAGCTTCATTATGATTAGCTAACAAAACTGCCTTTTAACATCTCTTTGGCATCCATCCATAGCTTGCAGCAATAACTGTTGGAGTCTTTACTGAATAATTAACATATTATTTAAATATTTAATCACTGTAAAATATTGTGTGGGGTGGCTCAGTTGTGGTAGAAATAATAAATGACTAACTTCATATTAACCTGTTGTCAACAACCAAAGAGTTCACAACATCTACTATGTTCAAACTGAATGAATGCAGTGAGTGTAGTGGCCTAAGGGAGGCAAAATGGCTGTATGTGATTTACTTCATGTCCTCAGTACATCACATGCTGGGTTCCTCCTTAATAAAGCTCCATCTGTTTCCTTTAGGTCCCTGCTATTCAACAGAGAAGAGTCGTTGCCTATCTCAATCAGTTTGTCGTGCACACAGTCCGGTTCCTTAACCGCTTTTCCACAGTTTGTGAAGAGGTTTGTACTTCTTCTTGTACTCTTTACTTGCCTCTGTTGTCCTGGTTAATTCACACACACAACTTCTGCAACACTGAGATCATATCCTGAACTGTTTAACTTTTTCCCCACAGAAACTTTCCAACATATCTCTACGCATACAGCAGATTGAAACAACCCTTTGTATTCTGGAAGCCAAGGTGAGCTCTTGAGCTTCTGACATTTATGACACTATATATATATATATATATATATATATATATAAATGTCATGCTCATGCTCTGATCATGTGCCAACTATTGTAATGTTCTGTGCAGCTGTCTTCCATACCTGGGCTGGAGGACGTCACGATAGAGGGACTCAGTCAGCGGCAGCCTGCTCAGGCTAATGGACCCACTAACACCAGTCAGAGCCAAACAGATGGTCCACCAGCAGGGACCCTGCCTCCCACAGAGGTAAATACACTGACATGCACACAAACAAGTATATAGTATTTTTCAGCCACATTGTACCACAAGAGCCAAGATGATTTTCTTTTTTTAACAGAAAGCCATGTATATGCATTTTATGTAGATTCAACCACCAGTTCATAATACAAAAAGTCAAACATGTTCATTGTACTTAAAAAAGTAGTAGAGATTTAAATAGATATGCTTATACACTTTCTTGCAGAGAGTTAGATGAGAAGAGTGATACCACCCTTATGTCTGTGTGTTAATTATAAAGCTAAAGGCAGGAAATGGTTAGCTTAGCTTAGCATAAAGACCTGGAAACAAGGGGAAATGGCTCATCTAGCTCTGTGCAACGATAACAGGATCCACCTACCAGCTCCTCTAAAGCTCACTAACTATTGGCAACCTCACAGTGGTGACGAGTCTCAAGGAAGTCACTGTGCCCACAGGGAAGTAGTTCCATCACATAACTTCCCCTGAAGCCACAGCTTTACAACTCTTTTCATGAACAGTTAAAAGAATTAAAAACTAAGACAGGGGTCCAGTTTTACTAATCTTGCCACACAGATGTTTTGGGTAAGACACCCTTCTTCAGCATGTATTCTGGCAATTTCACAAACAATATACACAGGTGGGGTTAATTTGAGGTGATGGCAACCAGCACAACAAGTAGATCCCAGCAGAGGGTGCCAAAACCTGTCCTGGCACAGTCTCAAGTTGGAGTACAGTGGTTCCCAACTGGTGCAGCAACGGGGTCCAGATTTCTCCTCAGTCATTAATTTAAGGTCCAAACATTTTAATATATTCAGCATCATACTTGTGTTTTGCCATGTCATCGAGCTAGTTTGCTATCTCTGTCAAGTAGCTGTCCACTAGAGACTCATCCTAAAGTAGGAATCAGCACTTGGAAAAAAAAGAGCTATGCTGAAATTTGCTGTATTTCAACATGAAGTGTGTTTTTTTACAAACTTGACATGTTTGCAAGTCACTTGTGGTCCACTGAGGATGGACCTGCGACCCACTTGTTGGGAACCACTGGTAAAGAACACTAAAACATAAAAAAAACAAGGATGCTACAGTAATGCTTGTTTCCTACAAAGTAAATATAATTTGCGCTCTTTCCTTAGTTTTTCGTGTTTTAGTATTCTACATAATGAGACTCCATGCCAGGAAAGGTTGTTGCTCCTTCTGCTTAGATCTACATGTTGCACTGCTTGCAGTTACCTAGATTTAGGGCTCGGTATTGGTATGTGATACTGACTATCGACTGAAATAACCCAGCACTAAGTAGTATTGAAACCACTCCGGTCAAACGATACCTGCATTTAATCCTATTTGCACCCAGATTTTGTGGGTTTGGTTTTGCTCGCAGCCAATCTCTACAAGCATTGTTCGATTCAATGCAACATACGATGGGCCTGCTACTGCAGCAGCTAAAACCCATACAGTCTATGGTGTGGTGAAATCAAGCATGGTGTATTTAATAATAATAATTTTATTTATAAAGCACATTTCAAGCTTGAGTACAAAGCACTCTCTAGATTAAAACATTTACGAAATAAAATGTAAAAAATAATAAACCCATGAAAGCCCCCTGTATGACACATACAAAAAAGAACATGAAAGCACTTATATGAAACAGCACTGAGTCCATACTTAAACAGATGGAGGTGCAAATGCAAAATAAATGAAGTAAACTCATACATAAATAAGTAAAATGTGTGTAAGTCATACTTCTACTGTTATTATACACATATGACTATTGTCACACAAGTATACTCAGATATCAGATATTAATACATACTTTCAACATATTGTACCACAGTAGCCAGAACTATAACTATAATATTATTACTTTCATTAATGTTGTTGTAAGCTACTGTCATTACCTGCATATCTCTCTCTCTCTCTCTCTCTCTCTCTCTCTCTCTCTCTCTCTCTCTCTCTGTCTCATTGTGTCATATGGATTACTGTTAATTTATTATGCTGATCTGTTCTGTACGACATCTATTGCACGTCTGTCCGTCCTGGAAGAGGGATCCCTCCTCAGTTGCTCTTCCTGAGGTTTCTACCGTTTTTTTTCCCCGTTAAAGGGTTTTTTTGGGGGAGTTTTTCCTTATCCGCTGTGAGGGTCTTAAGGACAGAGGGATGTCGTATGCTGTAAAGCCCTGTGAGGCAAATTGTGATTTGTGATATTGGGCTTTATAAATAAAATTGATTGATTGATTGATTAGCTCATAGAAAGCAGGTGAAAATTTGAAGCAGTTGGCAGTTCAGCATGCCGAGATCCCACCAGAACATTTGATAGTATGGCTTTACTACATGCCTTTGGGGTCTGACAAAAATAAATGCATAAAATGCAGAAGGAGTACTTCAAAAGAAACTCCGTTTGTATTGGTATCACTTTAAAGGTGCTGGTTTTGGTACTGGTATTGTAATTTTTTTAAATGATACCAAACCCTACCTATAGGTAACCCCACTTGTGTACATTTCTGTGTGTCTTTGTGTCAATAGTAAATGTCACATGAGATTCAGTGTGCTAATTAGTCAGCTTTATATTGTATAATCAATATTATAAACACGCCAACATCAGATAAACACATCTGCAAACCACAATCTCTGCAAGTCTGAAACCTACAAGAGCACCGCCTACTAAAAATGCAAAACAGGGTACCCCACTCGATATCCTGTGTTGTCTAAACCACTGGTTATATCGCACTGTTTTGGTAATTTGCATATTCCATGTTGCAGCCCGCTCAGACTGCACCAGATTCTGCAGCGACACCAAAAGCAGAAGCAGCTGCAGAGAACGTCATGACAGTGGCCAAGGACCCACGTTATGCCCGATACCTGAAAATGGTCCAAGTGGTATGTCATGCAGACTGTAGGGATTAAAAAACATAATCTGTGTGTTCTGTATTTTAATAAATGTTTTATTATTCATCACAGGGAGTCCCAGTTATGGCGATAAAGAACAAAATGGTCCTGGAGGGTTTGGATCCCAGCTTGCTTGAGTGAGTCTTTCACTGTTACTGGTGATGATTACATAATAGTCTTTATCTCTGTAACACTGACCGTTAACATTTCCTTCCCTGATGATGACAGCACACCGGATGCCCCCTTACCTGATGGAGGAACAAGGAGCACAGAGGATCAGGATATTGCAGCCACCAGCTCTGACAGCGAATCATCTTTCAGTGACTGACACCTTTCCTCTGTCTCCATCACCCATATAGCTTCCTGTAAAGGCCATTCATTGCTATTCTGAGCTCCTGTAGGCCTGTACTGAGAATGAAAAGTCGGCTGCAGAGTGCCTGTAAAGGAGCACCTGTGAGAGGGTGCAAATGTAAGAGCCTGAAACAGGAAACTCCAACCAGATTGTAATTTCAGTGTTAAAGCACTGAAATAGTTTTGCATTCAGTCGGTCAGTGACCTCCACAATTTTGATACATCTTGCGTTTTTGACAAATTCAAAAAGAGGGAATAATTTTCCTTGTTGACTGTTTGTCATCAGAACATGGCAGTGGCGATGACTATTGTACAAGAAGTTATTATATCCTGTAGAAGATATCGGTCTTCTTTTTAGTTGTTGCACTACTATCACAGTTTAATGCCTTTAATAGAAACTTGAACAGAAAAATTATTTGAAAAAAGATACTCAACAAATAAATTGTATTTCTGTGTGTTAAGGCCAGGGAGAAAAATATCACAATAATCCTTCAGTAATGATGTATATCATAATATGGTGTAATTTCCGTCCTTCCTTAAAATCAGCTGTCATTCTGAAGTAGTTTGATGAAATTATACTAGCAATATTTTGATTTGTTGACCTTTAACAGAACGCTTAAAGGAATACTTCACTCTCCAAATGACCGTTTTTAAATCTATTACTAAAACTATATTAAGCTCTTAAACAACTCACGCAGTATAATTATAGTCTCATTTATTCAACTGTGTGCTCAGTACTTCCTAAAAAGACAACTCTTTCTGATGGGGAACTGAACTGAAAGCGAAACTTATCAATGCTCTCTTCAAAGCCAGATTCCATTGACAAAAGCAGTAATTTTACCTTGCTGAACACAGGAGTTGCTGATCTACTGCTGCCCGGATTGGTAGATTATAAGTGTTAGTGTTTGACTTTGCTGAATTTGAACTAACCTTTTAAAACATTAAAGTCACACGGCAACACAAACAAACTGACTAATTGAGGCAGCAGTAGACCAGCAGCTCCTGTGTTCAGGGAGATAAAATTACTGTTTTTGTCAATGGAGTCTGGCTTTGAAGAGAGCATAGGTAAGTTTTACTTTCCATTCAGCTGGGTGGCACTGAGCATACGACTGGATAAATTAGACTTTGATTGTACTGCACAATTTGTGTGAGAGTTCGTTAACAGATGTTTTGATATAGTTTTTGCTGTTGTTAACAATGGACCCCAATGACTTCAATTCATCAAGAACTTTCAGGAGTTTTTGGATTCTTCATTCATTGTGGCAACATGTGAGAAAACATTGTTTCCTTCATGAATTAAGCCTAACACAGGATTAGTAAGTGATATACAAATAATCATTTGGGGAGTGGCATTTCCCTTTAATACTGCCTGTTTTTTTTTTCTTCATCTCAAAGCAGCAAAACTGAGATTCAATAAGTTGGCATATGAACAATATCCAAACAGGAGTTCCAAACTGGTGTCTTTACAGAATATTATAATCAAGTCGCAGTGGAGTGTCATGCTTTTCCATTATTGTACCTTGTTAATCACGACACAGTGACTTCTGAAAGTATTCAGATCTCTTTGCTTTTTTTTTTTTGCAAAGTTTATATATTAAAGATTTAAGATGGATTGGGTTAAATTTTTGGGCTGTCAGTTTACTAACAATATGTTAGAGCAAAAACATGTTAATAGAAGGTTTTGAAAACTTATTCTGAATGAAAAAATGAAATCTGAATATTTTCCAAAGCTGCTGAGTGTGTCTTGATTTATAATACAGACAAAAACTCTTTATATGTCACCAATGAGTGACAGTAAATGATAAAAAGTAGTGTATTGTCTGATTCTGCTTTGGGTCCTTGCATAGCAAACATTTTTCTATTGACATTTTCAACTGGGTTTTAATGTTTGTCCCATGATAGCATTGCCTTGTACAGTAACCTCAGCTGGAATGAAGATAAACAAACTTGCACTAAATCAGTGATAAACACAACATGTCAGAACACAAACTTGTCCCAGCTTATGACATTCATCAGGACTTGTGACTACACGCCCTAAAAATGTAAAATAGTGAGGTCATGAACTCCTCGGCACATAACAAATATTCATAAGATTTCTATGAATGAATATTATTACACTATAGTGACTGTGAAAATGAGTGTGAAGAAGTCTGGGAAGCACTTTGTGTACAAAAGCAAGAAGATCTGTAATAAATAAACAGTTTGCTTAAAAAAAAAAGTGTATCTTTATTTTTCAGCCCAGCAGCGCACCATCATCTGTACAGTACATTGTGTCATAAGCAAAACCGTATCAATACACAGTGATTGAATGAAAAAGATAAACTCCCTTTTGTTTCCAAGACAGCATCTGTAGTGGACACGTTAACAATCTGTGGACAGGATTGTCTCTTTGGAATACTGTGTGTTAGTCCCATCTACTGACCACCAGTTACAGACATGATCTATAAAAGAATGCTCCAAAAGTGCTGGCCGCTGAAATACAGGATATCAGCTGATACTCAGATGTGATAGTGATTTTATATTTGGTGAGTAGCAATAGCTGACACTATGACACACTTTATTTGCTCATCACAACATCACAAAATTGTCTCAGAGGACTTTAGAGGCTCTGACATTGTGCGCTTATTTCAGGGTTCCCACTGTCATGAAATTCCTGGAAAAGTTAAATGGTTTTCCAGGCCTGGAAATAGTTTGGAATTAACAGAATGTGTTGGAAATGTTACAGTGGTTAAATATACGCTGGGGTTCCTGTCTATCCCTAAAAATTCTTAAAAGGCACTGGATTAATTAAATTAAAAATAAGGCCTTAATTGGTATTAAAATAAATTAATCTTTCAAAACAAACCTTGTGAGTTGTAATGAAGCTGAATTTTGTAACTTTACCTTTGTTAAATGTTGCTGTTGTCCCTGGCTTCATATGAGTAGAGGAAAAGTCTGCTAGCCGCTAGGCTAATTTATACAATGTAAAATGCCATAGGCTTGTGCTAAAAACATTAGCATGTTGTATTTGTGGGGAAAATGTGTCCAGATAAAGACAAGTGTTTGTCTGTGAATTCTGCGAGTTATAGTGAAGCTGATATGTGTACTTATGTTTAAAACTGTCTTTATTAAGCCATGTTTAATGTGTGTTTTGGAGGTGTAACTGCAGAGTGACACAGACATACCACCACGCAAGTATAAATGCTCGGTGTAGGCCACATGTGTAGGCTACAACATAGGCACTGCCACACATGTATAAATCCTCCTTAAGACTTTGGAATCCCACATGCAGAGCAAGAAACACAAAATTGTTTAGAATACTCGTCAACAAATGCCAGGTATTTCCCCAAAAAGTCATGGTTTATATTACACTCAGCATGTGGGCTAAATTGTCCTTAACCCTCGGTAAAAAATCTTGGTCCATGTTTTTTTTTTTCTTCAGTTTTAGTTATTGTAAATTGGTCTTAAAAAGTCTTAAATCTGACTTAAGCTGTCAGAACCATGATACATTGTTTTGGCTGTTGTTAAATATGTCCATCAAAATCCCAAAACATCTAACATTACACAAAATTTCCCATGTAGTATTGAAACATCACCAGTATTACGTGATACACATCTGTGTACGCAGCTAGCTGGTGGCAGGAATGTCAAACAAGTGAGTAAAGTTAGCCAGAGCCAGCAGTTTGCTTATTGGCAAATGTCTGGGCAGTGCATGTTAAATAATGCTTGCCGTTAGCACCGTGAGGAAACGGCTCTAGTCAGCCATTCTAAAGGGATGGCTATAGCCAGGCCAAGATAACATTATCAGTTTGTGTCTACTGTACGTGTATGTCCATATTCCACGCTACACTTTCGCCTGCCTTAGGACATAGCATACTGGAGTAGCACCTTATGATCGCGATAGAGGCCTATCTACTTCACTAAAGTCTTGGAAAGAGGGTTAAATATTACGGGTAATAAAATTCATTGGTAAAGTGTGTGGGAACCCTGATGTTTTTCAGTGTTGATGTTGTTGATGTTACTAAAGTAGCTAAAGTATTGGCAGTGTGCTCTACAGCAGTGGTTCCCAGCCTGGGGTTTGATAATATATATACAAATTTAAGGGCGTCAGAAATTCAAAATATATTTCTGTCACCCAAAATACTTGCATTTTTCAGACTTAATGACATATTGTGAGTGAAATGCTGGAAACTTCTGCCTCTTCAGGCCCCTGAAAATCCTACAAATTAAACAATTTTCAAAGGTAAAGTCCCTCTGATTAAACTGCCTACATTTTTTTAATGCCCGCTGATGTAAGGTTAAGAGAAAAGCTTAGTTTATCTGGCTGACAGCACACTGAAAACCTGCCTTCAATTCTAATTAGCTGCAATTTCTATTCTATTACAGTAATTTAATTTGGCAGTCATACTGAACAAACTATTTAATTAAGTAGCCTAGTTTCTGTTGCATAAACTGTCTACAGTCTGCAGACACAAGCAAAATCCCATCTATAGCTGCACTGTGGAACAATCCAGCAGTATGAGCTTAAACCATTTAGCACACACGGAGAGTACAGAAAGTATTGAAACCAAAACTCTGAATTGGAGCATTCATAGAAAGAGTTTCCAGCTGTCCAAAGAAAACATGATTAGAAAATGCTAATAAAAAAAAATGTCATACAGGTTTCCTGATTACTTACATACAGTATCAATGTAGTCTCACCATTTTCTCACACAACACGAGCACCACCATGTTCCCACAGACGAGTCTGTCATTAGTTTGAGTCTCCTTTAACCAAGTGTGAAGCTATCATGTGTTCCCTGTGTGATGAACTTCTCTTATTACTGGTCACAGGTTTGACAGCATGAGTCACGCTGGTGTGGCAACGATCGAGAGCAAAGTGCAAAGTGTTGTTTGAACACAGGAAGCAATTAAGTGCACGTATAAAATGAATTGAGATCATATAAAAGGTATAAAGATACAGGCTGTGATCGGTTTCTGAGCTGCTGATAATGTATAAATAACAACGTACCCACTGTGTTGTACCAGCAAATTCAGTCAGGCGATACAAAACACAACATAGTATAAAAGCCTTGCAGTGTAAAAATACAAATGTACAAAATGCATGTGCATAAAAGCTTTACAAAAAAATGCAGAACATTTTTTTTAAACATTAAAATACTGATAATCATACTGTGATGTGTCGTCAGTCTCAGACTCATCATGGCTACTCCACGTTCTCTGTTTTCACTCGCAACGTAAACAGCTGTGGGGAATAAAAAGGGAGAGAAATAAGAACCCCTTTCAGCATTACATTTAAATAAAAATGAGCTTCTGTTTGTTGGTGTGATACTCACTTTGAAGTCGTCGATGTATGTGAGGAAGAAGCAGATGAAGCTGAAGGCGACGATCCACTCGCATACAGCACTGGCCACATGGAAGGGATAGTCCTGAAGGAGAGACACAGACAGTCAGTAAATATTCAGCTTTTAAGTGGAAACAGATATTTTTCTTTGCTTTAACTTATTATGAAGTAAATGTTGATTGCTGATGTGATTGTTGATCACAATGTAATCACTACAGAATACTGACACATCAGAGTTTATTGTTTCCCTAAAAGCCTCGCCTCTATAATGACGTTCTGTTTGCCACCGGGCACGATCACCAGGGAAAATGAAGGTTCGATTTTACGGCACAAGGGAAGTGTGGTAACCACGGTGTAACCAAAACAGGAAGAGGATAGTGCTTTTGTTTTCCCCGGTAGCATTTAGGATGTCCAGAAGCAGAAATGGTGGACGGTGGAACAACCCAAGAACATTCCTAGAAATAAGGGTTACAAAGGGCTAACATTCTTTCTACCTGGAACCAACTGCCTTTGAAGAACATTAATATTCTTAAGGGATTCTTTCAGACCAAAGATTCAAGACAAGACAAGTTGAAACGTGCAACTGCTTGCAATGCTCCGTTCTGCAACGTTCTAAAAACCAACTAGATGAGACGGTGTATCATCTCTACGCAACAACTCTCTGTGCTTCCGTTCTGATTCGCAGCTTTTCAGGCTTATTTTGTGGCTGAATATAATTTGTAGCTTCTTAAAATATCGTCGTCGTCGTCCTCCGCTTATCCGGGTCCGGGTCGCAGGGGCAGCAGGCTCAGCAAAGAAGCCCAGACAGTCCTCTCCCCAGCCACTTCCGTGGGAACCCCGAGGCGTTCCCAGGCCAGCCAGGTGATGTAGTCCCTCCAGCGTGTTCTGGGCGGCCCCGAGGTCTCCTCCCGGTTGGACACGCCCGAAACACCTCCCAAGGGAGGCGTCCAGAAGGCATCCTTACCAGATGCCCGAACCACCTCAACTGGCTCCTCTCGATGTGGAGGAGCAGCGGCTCTACTCCAAGTCCCTCCCGGATGTCTGAGCTCCTCACTCTATCCCTAAGGCTGAGCCCAGCCACCCTGCGGAGGAAACTCATTTCGGCTGCTTGTACTCGCGATCTCATTCTTTCGGTCACTACCCAGAGCTCATGACCATAGGTGAAGGTTGGAACGTAGATCGACTGGTAAATCGAGAGCTTCACTTTTTGGCTAAGCTCTTCACCACAACGGACCGGTTAAGCGCCTGCATCACGGCTGACGCCGCCCCAATCCACCTGTCAATCTCCCGCTCCATCCTACCCTCACTCGTGAACAAGATCCCGAGATACTTAAACTCCTCCACCTGAGGAAGGACCTCCCCACCGAACTGGAGAGAGCAATCCACCCTTTTCAGGCTGAGGACCATGGCCTCAGACTTGGAGGTGCTGATTCTCATCCCAGCCGCTTCACACTCGGCTGCGAACCGTCCCAGCAAGAGCTGGAGGTCACTGTTCGATGGAGCTAGGAGGACCACGTCATTCGCAAAAAGCAGGGACGAGATCCTCCCGTCACTGAACCTGACACCCTCCACCACTCGGCTGCACCTAGAAATTCTGTCCATAAAAGTTATGAACAGAACCGGTGACAAAGGGCAGCCCTGGCGGAGTCCAACCCTCACCGGGAACAGGTCCGACTTACTGCCGGCCACGCAAACCAGACTCATGCTCCTTCGGTACAGGGACTGGATGGCCCTTAGCTTCTTAAAATATGAATGAGGATAGTGATAGTGAGACACTAGCTACAGCTGCATTTGTAGCAGTGATGAAACGGGGAAAAGCAGAAACAAAACGAGCATCAGATGGAGTGTATTCATGATAAATACACCACAGTAATATAAATAACCAGCGGCAATAAATAAGTGGGCGGGGCATAAGCACATACAGCGAGCAGCAGCAGCCAACAGTGATTTGACTAGCTGAGCTGCAGGTGACACTATCAGCCGGCTTGAGTCGAGCTCAGAACAGTTTGCACCACCGCAACTTTTCTCTGCAACGCTCTAAAATGAATGAGGAAACCTTTTCATCCAAAGAACTCTTTTTGAAAATAGGGTTCTTCAAGGGTTCTTTGCAGCAGCCCTTATTGTTGACTTGGCCATGTCTGCTACCTAGTCAGAAATGTCTTAGTTCTTCTTGACTAGTTCCTGCTTGGTGCATGTCTTTTAAGTATATAATAGTGCTGTCATCATGAAGTGAACGGAAATAATGAGAGAGAGAGAGAGAGCTTGATTAATCAGTATCGTGTGGGCCAGGATTGACCCCTGGGACAGACTTTGGACATGATGAACCCGTCATGGTTCTAGTTAGCTCTTTCGTTGCTAGGAGTGTAACTGTGGAAACTCTACCTAGCAAAAGAAAAAGAGCCACATTGCTTGGCTCTGAGGAAAGCGGAAAGTGATGGGTTGCTTTTGCGACAGCCCCCATCATGGTGGGCGGCGAAGGGTGTGTGAAAAGTTGCCTGTTTCCACTTTAAACTGATGTATAGTGACAAACAACAGCCTACCTCGTCTTCTTTGTCTCTATGCAGAGTGGTTTGTTTCACATAGAACGCACAGATTAGAGCTGAATTACCCATTAAGGAAAATGGAATCAACAATGATTGACACTTGTAAATGTGGCAGAAATATCACATACTGTGCATTTACTGGTAACGACACTAATGATAATATCAACAAGAGGATCATGTTGCAACCATGAAGCAAAGTTCCTGTTTAAATGCATGTCATGATGGTTAGAAAGAACAACAGACCTTATTGGTATTTTAACAAATTAGACTTCTGTGAAAGGATACTGGGGAAAAATGCCACAACAGCGAGGATGGCGATACCCACACGTACTCGACACACACAAATGGAGGACCCAAATGGATAGGCACGAAATGATATAACAGACTGGAGGATTATGTATAAGACACCAGAGACAAAGAACAATATTGCTCCTATATCGTGAACGGCTGTCACTAATGTTTCCTGCAATAAAAGAGCAAACACAAAATTACACCTTTAAACATTTAATTATCTTAATGTGACTTAAATGTGCACCACATGTAGAGGACATACCTGAAATGTTGCAACAATACACATGCCCAAACAGGAGAGCAACCCCAACGCTAGAGCAGTTTTATTGAGATGTGGGCTCACCATCCCTGTGTCAGCACTCAGCTTCTCCACAAACTTGTACCTGGCATATATGGTGGATATTCCTGTGTAAAGATGACATTGTGCATTTACCACAATGTGTTGCAAACTGATGACTCACTAAAACAGAAAAACAATCCTCTTGCATCCCATCAAATAAACTCTGCTTTCATTTTCCTAAAAAGGGGAAATGTGACTAATAACTTTGGAAGGCTTGGTTCCTCCATTGGGAAAGTTTGCAGTTGCCTAAAAGAGGTTACAGAGGTCACAGTGCAGATGTTCACACTGATGGGAGTGAAAACCCTGTGCATAGGTGCAGATTATTGGAGGACACATCCCCCTCAATATTTAGAACATGTGCATTTGTTCCCCCCAATAAAACAGGAAAGTAGCAGAGAACTTTATTTTGACAAAAGGACATCTACAACACAAATGAATGGAGATAAGATACAAATTGGCTGCATTAACATTTACCAGAAAACACGCAATTAAGTGTTTGATGCTAAAAATTATCTGGTACATGGATGGATTACACAATGGCCCTACCAGGCACAGGCCCAGGGGGCCAAAGTGTCAGGGCCCTGGCCTTCACTTGCAAAATGTCACTTAAATTAACAGTAACAGACCAGGAAGAGACTAAAATGATCATAAAGACACACAAAGGAACTACAAAACAGGCAAAACAACCATAAAGAGACCCAAATGACTACAAAACAATAACAAACAGACACAAAACTACTTCAAAAGTGTCAGAAAAAAAGACCAAATAAGACACAAAATTAGTTTAAAGAGACACAAAATTACCCCAAAGAAACCAAAATGACTACAAGGCACACAATGAGAAACAAAGTGTCTACAAATTACACAAAATTACCTCCAAGAGACACAAAACGACCACAGTAAGACACGAAATGACGACAGAGTCACAAAAAAACAACAAAATATTACACAAAATTCCCTCAATAAGACACAAAGTTATCTCAGAGACCCCTACTACTACAAATAGACACGTAACAACCACAAGGGGACACAAAACAATTACAAAGTAACAGAAAAATTACCAAAAATCACATAAAATTACCATAACAACACACAAAATTACCTAAAAGAGACCCATATGACTTTGAGGAAACCAATCAAACCAATCACAACCACAATGAAACACAAAGTGACAAAAAATTACACAAAATTACCTCCAAGAGACACAAAACAATCACAGAAAGACAAAAAACTACTAAAAGGGACAGAAAAACAACCAAATTAGACACAAAATTACTTTAAAGAGACATAAAATTACCTCAACGAGACACAAATGACTACAAGAAGACACATGACAAGCACAAGGAGATACAAAGTGACTACAAATTACACAAAACTACCTCAAAGAGACACAAAACAATCACAGAAAGACAAAAAACTACTAAAAGGGACAGAAAAACAACCAAATTAGACACAAAATTACTTTAAAGAGACATAAAATTACCTCAACGAGACACAAATGACTACAAGAAGACACATGACAAGCACAAAGAGACACAAAGTGACTACAAGAAGACACATAACAAGCACAAGGAGATACAAAGTGACTACAAATTACACAAAACTACCTCAAAGAGACACAAAACAATCATAAGGAGACACAAAGTGAGCAGAGAGACCCCATCGACTACAGACACGTAACAACAACGTAACTACAAAGAGACAGGAAGTTACCAAAAATGACACAAAATTACCTCAAGGAGACCCAAACAAATACACAAAACAAAAATAACCACAATGAGACACAAAATGCCGACAAAGTGACAGAAAAATGACCAAAATTGACACAAAATCACCTCAGAGACCCAAATGACAACCAAACAAACACAATGTAACTACAAAGAGACACAAAACAATCATAAGGAGACACAGAATGACTACAAAGTGACAGAAAAACCACCATAAAAGACACAAAATGACTTTAAAGAGACACAAAGTTACCTCATAGACCCCAACGACTACAAATAGACACAGAGCCACCACAAAATGACTAAAAAGTGACAGAAAAATGACCAAAACCCTCACAAAATTACCTTAAATAGACCCACATGACTACAAAAAGACACATAACAACCATAAAGAGATGTAAAATGTCTACAAGGGGACACAAAATCACTTCAAAGAGCCACAGAACAATCATAAGGAAACACAAATGACTCCAAAGAGACCCAACACCACCACACCCTCTGTGTGTTTCTGGTGGGGCCCTTTGCATATCTGTACCCAGGGGCCCCATTGTCTCTCCACCCATGTATGCATCCCAGTAAATGTAGAGAGGAAAGCTTGTACCTGCACATGCGGAAATGAATGTCATCAGGCCAAAGATGCAGCTCTCTGGAGGTTTTGCACCTGTGTCACTGCAAAGGGAAAAGACAGATCTGCATGTCAGCCCTCACACTACAGACATGTGCTGACAGTACAGAATACTTCCCCTTATGTAGGTTTGTATGATGTTATATTTTAAACTTTAGGGTGAAAGTCTAACTTCATAGTGAGAAGTGAGAAGAGGAGCGGCACATAATAGCAGATGTGTACGGGCAGCTGGACTCTGGGCTCCAGCCGAGTTGACGCAGAGGAAAACGAAACTAAACTCTGTGCCTCAGAAATCACTGAAAATAAACTTCGCCGTGCACTTTCTACACCTCAGATTGACTTTCTGGTGCGTCAAACCACTTATAAAGTCATTTCAATGAATAAAACTTACCTGATGTATGGAAAAATGACGTCGACATCCCCTCTGAAAAGCGCAATAATGTAGGAAACAATAAAAGTGCTGGAGGACCAGATGACCAGAAACGCTGGTAGGAAACACAGTCCTTGCTGGAACCAAAACATCTCCGAGGTGGCTGAACGCGAAGCTTCCAGAAAACACTCTCACACGGAGTCAAAATACATCCACACAACATAAAAACCCGAGTTTAAATGCTGGTCCAGGGCCAGGGCAGAGTCTGCTGCTGCTGGTGCTGCGGTGGAGAGTGATGAAGTTACCGACAGTCACATGGTGGTACGTGAACCAGAGTGAGCCCTGCCAATATACAGTATACAGTAACCTCTTCCCCTTAAATGACTCCGTGTGGGCCGGCCTACGCAAATGAAGCCTCCCGTTATGATCACACGGAGCTTCCTTCCTCCCTTCATCTGTCTTGTTGTCACTGTTTGGCTCCCACAAGACGAGACTCTTTCTTTTGAATTCCCAGAGGTGTGTCAGTGCCAGTAATACACAACAATGTAGGGAAGTAGGCTGCCCTTTACTGAAATATGGGTACAGTATAAAAGTAGTAATAGTTTTAGTTGCATTAACATGTGAGCAACATGTAGTTTATCTGCAAGAGTGCATTATTATTTGTGATTAAATCTCAGTGGGTAGAAAAGTAGCTATGAAATCAGTGTAGGTATATAGTGCACGGAATTTGTAATCAATAAAAGGAAGTTACGAGAAGTTAAAAGTTGTAATCAAGTAGTTTCGTAATTGTAGGAAAAACCAAGGTTGTCACACTTTTTAATCTTGTGTGAATTTCTCATTATCATCAACATCTTTCAAGAGTCACTCAAACATTAAATGAAAGCTTAAGGTCTTGGCTTGAAATGAGTATCATTTTCATTTTTACAACTTATTGTAACAGGAAGTAATAAACCACCAAAGACACTCTGCTGACACATTGTGACAACCAGCCCCATCACCTGGTTGGTTGTCCCTATAGCTATCAGTGGGGTTTTAGAAGAAAAAAAAAACAGATTTTAAAAAATGTGTAGGTTTTTAGCTCTTCAGCCTCTTCAGTTCTACAGAGTCGTAGGGGTCAACAACTCACATTGTGACCTTAAAGACTCTGAAACTAAGAGCTCACGTGACCCCTATGACTCTGCAAGGGTTCCCACCCACACAGTGTCTATAGCTTGCAACTTAGTACCAGTCATTTAGAACTGAAGAAGCTTCTTGGATGAGAGGCGAAACATCATCAAGAAACGCAAGCAAGTCCAGTTGCCTACGATATTAGCACTTACGATTAGCATGACCTGGATGACTGAGAATCTTCACCGACCAGGTGATTGTTTGTTGCAAAGGAGCAAAGGTTGGTCTACGATCAGCCACGAGAAGACCAAGGCCATGATCGTCGGACAGGGTCAACACCACCCACCACTCACTCTAGGCGAGTACGTCAAGAACTTCACGAATTTTGGCAGTAACATCTCGAGTACCGGAGATGTAGAGAAAGACGTACAAAAGAGTATCGGCAAAGCTGCAAGAGCTTTCCAACGGCTCCACAACATACGTTCGTCCAAAGCTATCACTACGGCCATCAAGCCTGTATATGTCAGTGGTCATTCCAACAGCGACCTACACCTGCGAGACGTGAATGAGGACTGCCAGCATTATCAACATGTTGGATGTCTTCCACCGACGATGCCTCAGAACCATCTTGAGGATCTTATGGCGAGACTACATCACCAACGATGAGGTGATCAGAAGGGCAGGGGTGGCACTACTGTCTGACATGGTCTCTGACAGGAGAAGAAGAATGGCTGGACACGTACTCCGACTGCCAAGAGAGAGACCAGCGAGTGTGGCAATGGACTGGGTGCCTGAGGGTGGCAAGAGGAAGAGAGGGAAGCCAAAGACGACGTGGAGACAGACGTTTAAGGAAGACCTAAGCGAGATGGGTGTCAGATGGCATGGTGCAAGGAGGGTCGCCAGGGACCGGAGCAAGTGGAAGGGACTTGTGATTGGGCGACAATGAACATTGGGAGAAAGGACTCAATGTAGAAATTTCAGACGAAGATGGGCATAATGTGTGGAAGATACACCTTTCAACCACTAAATAGTTTCTTTATTACATCAAAACTTAAAAGTAGGCTTCTCTAAAGTTGCCAGAAATGTTGGAGAGAGTGCCGGTCTTTAGATGTCGACCAATCTCTTGTTTTTTGGAAATGTCAGAAAATTACTGTATCTTTATCAATGTATACTTCCCGAAGAAAATGTTTTTGCTAGTGATAGATACTTGATCAAAATATTGCTAGTAGCAAGCAAGAAAGCTATCACTAGGCACTGGGGTAAAGAAACACCACCATCGAAGGATGAATGGCTGACAACTGTGAAATAAATCTTTTTAATGGAGAAACTGACACATACTGCGAATACAAGAAGCACAACTAGAAAGAAAATGGCAAAAATGGACTCTATACAAGACTCAAAAAGACGACACTGGACTGAAATAATAATCAATAGATACACTCATCCTTAATGCTGTAAAAATGCATTTACTTAAGCAGTTTTTGTTTCGTTAGCTCTTATTATTTTTCAGTTTTCAGGATTGTTACCTCTCCAGCAGGGCTGAAAAGTATCTTACACATTTACTCAAGTACAGTTTTGTAGTGCCACTTCATACCCGCTCCAGGGGCGTTGTAGTGGGGGAAAAGTGGGACTGTTTACCCAAGGCCCGCGTGGGACCATTGAAAGGCTTGGAATGAAAAGTTTGGGGTGTTTAGCAGTTTTTTTATTTCTAAGTAATTGGTGCCATAATTCAATCAAAGTTTACTGAATAAATCAGTTAAAAGGCCCCTCTCACCCCTTGAAGTGGTACAAAATGGTTAAGTCCACCCCTGCGCTTGGATTTGTTTATAAATGGAGCTAGAGCCGAGGAAGTGGCTGCTTATGCCGCTGGAGCACCATCGTACACCGTCATGTCTTTTCCTAAGAAAGGGAAATCGGGGTTCCAAGAAGGAAAAGAAAGGAAAGGAAAGGGAAATAACCAGAAGGTGCGTGAGAGAGACGTGACTCAAGAGAGGAAGGCAGGGGGCCACAGAGACTGCTTCTGCATAGGGTCCAGAATTTGGTGCCGTGTCCCTGCTTCTTACAGCTGTAGCTCCTTGTTATAGTTCATCGTATAATGAATTGCTATCCACCTTATTTTCAAACACGGAAGTAAATAGTGATCAACTTCCGTTTTTTTTGTGCGTGACTTCCGGTCAGCCGCTTTCCCTCATGCTTTCCCTTACCGGAGCTAACGGTGCAAGCTTTTTTTTTTTTCAATTTTCAGTTGTTTATGTTAGTCAATCAGTTAGTTAGTTAGTTAGTTAGTTAGTCTGTGTATTTTGTATAACGTTAGCTAACTGTGCCCACGTTTCCATTATAACGGAA